TGCTAGGATTACAGGTGTGAGCTACTGCACCTGGCCAGGAATAAGAAGATTAATGGAAAGATAGTCCAAGTATAATTGTGGCCTAAATGTGAGAATTGCTACCTAAGATGATATTAGAATAACTGTTTCATTTCTCAAGTCCTCTTTTACAACAGCTACTACTGATTTTCAGATAGATTTACTAGCCCTACAGTAGAGTATTTTGTGAAGGGGTGGACCAGGGAAAGGAGGGGCTGTAGAGCAAAGAAACAGTGAAGGAGTGAACCTCTGGCGTTCACTCATTCCCCATCTCAGAGTGGCTAATATGTTCACAGTAACTGCTCCATAAAAACTTGTTAAACTGAAATGAATTAAATTGTATGTTAGACTGAGATGTTCCTCCTACCTTCCTCCTCTTCTTTGCTTCTAAAAATTCTCTTCACCCTCTTTTCCTGCTTCTTGAGTACAAACGAGGAGATGGGTTGAGATTTGTGATGGGGAATAATTTCAAATCCTCTTTTTCCTTCACATACATCACCATCCACCCTTGCCTATTAAGAGCATTTCATTTCTTTTTTCTCAACCAAATAAAGTGCTTTTCACACAGTAGGTCTGTAATAACTTTTTTGTCAAATTAACCAATTAGTATAAAGCACCCTGAAATTCTTGTAATATAGAATTATATTTTTCTCTCACTAAAGATGAATTAACTCTACTATATCTGAAGTACATAATTGCAAAGTAGTAGATTAAATTAATGAGCATGTGGGAATGATCTTTTCAGTATCACCCATCATCTCCACCCTACTTGGGGTAAGTTGGACAGGTGGGACTTCTGGGAACCAGGAGGCTCTGAGACCTCCAAGCTAGAGTTGGAGACAAGCTTGGATATGCACTAAGTCAGCCAAGTCAACTTGTGGCTTAATGTAGCCAAGAAGTTTGCTCTACAACATCAGCTTGAAAACCGGAGGGAGAGGGGCTGACAATAAGTCTCAGACAAAGTCAGCTGGACATTGAACAAGTACAGTCATGCAGTGCGTAATAAAGTTTCCGTCAACAACGGACCGCATAGATGGTGGTCCCACAAGATTATAATGGAGCTGAAAAGTTCCTATCACCTAGTGACATCATAGCCAACATGATGTCATAGCACAAAACATTACTCATGTATTCATGATGACGCTGGAGTACACATTCCTACTGCGCTACCAGTTGTATAAAAGTATAGCACATACAACTGTGTATCGTACACAATACTTGATAATGATAACAAATGACTGTGTTACCAGTTTATGCATTTACTATATATTTGATCATTATTTTAGAGTGTACTCCTCCTACTTACAAAAAATAAGTTAATTGTAAAATAGCCTAGGCAGGTCCTTCGGGAGGTACTCCAGAAGAAGACATTACTGCCATAGGAGATGACAGCTCCACATGTTCTTTTGCCTCTGAAGACCTTCCAGTGGTTCAAGATGTGGAGATGGAAGATGGAGATATTGATGATCCTGACCCTCTTTAGGCCTAGGCTAATGTGTTTATGTCTTACTTTTTAACAAAATAGTTAT